GTATTAACGAGTTCAAACCCTGCCCGCGAGTAAGCGTGGTACCTACGTACAGGCCCGTGAAAATTTTCTTCCGGTTAAGTTACTTACTCGAGGACGTGAGAAGCTGGAAGACTAGAATTTTGAGGGGATTTTTCGAGACAGTTCTGACGGGCAGTCTGAAATTCTTTCAGCTAGAAGCATCTGCCGAAAAAATCGATGCCGGTGGTGACAAAAACTGCGGGAACTCTGCAAAAAAACGCATCTTCGCACGGGCAGCCCGTGCGTTGGCCAATTATTGCTACTGTCCTGCTGCTACCACTCCTGCTGCTCTTGCTGTTGCTAATGCTACCACTGCTGCTATTGCTCGTGCAACTGCTCTTGCTCTTGCTACTGCTTATTGCTCCTGCTGCCTCGTTGCTGTTGCTGCCGCTTGTACCCAAGAAAAACTACGAAAGGCGCTCTCCCTCTCCTGAGAATGTTTTGAATTCAAGCTGAAGACGACTCTGATTTTGTGGCACGTCTTAGTACCATTTTACCACTGAAATAATTCAACGAATCATAGATGCAGTGGTTTGCTCGCTGGTAAATTTGAAGCAAGAGTTTCTGCATTGCCACTGTGAAAACAACACACCAACAACAAACAAATCTCCACTGCTACAGGCAATTTGTGTAAACTGTGTTAGCGGATTGGCTTTTTGCAAAGTGACGAAATTTCTAAAAATTTCATTCTCAAAAGTTAAATGGACATTAGCACCAAGTGTAGGTCGGCAAGGCGATTAGATCGCAACTATCCGCTCAGAGTCGGATGCAACGATTCACCGCGTTAAGCCAAAAGAAGCTAATCTCTGATGGCTTGTTGCAAGCCTAAATACTGTTTGTAATTTTATTGGTACCTGAACAGCTCGTTGACAAGACAAGTCATACGATCTTCGTTCTCTTTATTTCCAGAGCAGCTTATCTGCTCTCTCCCCAAACGCTGGATGATTTCAGACGCCGAGACAGCAAACTCAACACCCGCAATCTGCACAACTGCAGGATCGGGTAGTAATATAATATTCTGCAAATGAACAACACAAGGTAAAAAAAAAAGAAAAAACAATCAGAGCAAGAAAAATCATAATTTCTTGCATGAAATTTGTTAAAAAGTCAATGCTTTTAAATAGTGAGCCAGAAAAGTAAACATTATAGGAAGTTTCGGGGTTGAGAATAAGAAGATAATGCTGCAACTATTATAGGTTTAAAGAAAGTGACCTTATTTACTGATCGCTGCCTTTCTTTGGACAGGCGGAACGGCGCAGTTGGAAACGATGGGCGCACCGTAGCATCCTTCTTACCGCTTGGAACTAGCAATAATTGTATATCAGTTCTAAATACAAATTCACTTACGTCGGATAGATAGCACTTATTATGCGTTTTTTGCAGCAGTGCAATGCGAATAAATGGCAACGCGCACCAGACTAGCCGGTGCGATCATGCGTTTTGTACAATTCAGCTCATCGAACGATTGCCTGTTAATTATTTTCACTGCTTTGTACTTTAGTCTATGCAAA